GGTACTGGAAGATAAAGATCTCCCAGCCCCCTACTCCCCAATCGTGAGGACAGAGCAGGAGCTGGGAGATAAGGTTCTGCCTAGGCTCCGGTGGCAGAGCCCACCCTGGCAGCAGGCAGCTCCTAGGGGCAGGAAGCAATCTCGCACACCCTGCTGGCTGGCTGACTGGGATCAGATTAACTCTTGGTCAGGTGCCTACACGAGTGCTACTGTGCAGTAACTAATCACAAGTAAATTTTCTACTTGCATTTACAGGTAGCAAATTTTCTCATGATTAGCAAAGTTTACTGCACAGTGTGTGCACATGTAGATGTGCATGCTTACCACTCAGTAAGCTATCCTACTGTGCACTAAAGCATCTTGTGTGCATGCACCCACAGAGCAAGACTTTGAAACTGGATCCTTCTTCTTCCTCTCCCCAAGTGAGTGCCCTCATCCCTGGATTATCAGCTACTCTGGGGTTGGCCTCCCTGACTGGTTTTTCATGGAACTATTTTAATAGCTGTAGAAACTCCAATTTTGATAGAAACCAAAGTCTTATTTTCCAGATAGCCCAAACCACCAATTTGTGAAAGAACTTGGGAAAATAAGTAAATTATAATGCTTCAGTTTTCTTATAGGAAAAAACAACCCTGTGACTGTTTATGTCACAGGAGTGCTGAGGCAACATTTATTAATGTTTAACCATATTTGAACAGAGAGAAGCCACTCTCTTGCTTCCAAATTTTAAACTCACATCATTATTTTAAATTAAAGTATAAAACTAAGGAGTCTTTATTAACTGAAAACAAATTATTATTCAGTGAAGCAGCTTGTTTTCTAGAAACATTTTCCTGTGTTTTCTTCCTTAATCAACAGTCTCTTCATGATATAAATGAAAAAATTCTCTCACAGATATGGGATGCAAAAGAGATGATAATTCAGCAGTCTTCTATGTCACAGCTGTAGCAAACTCTCATGAAGTCTGGAAGCCAGACTCTTCAAAATGTAAAGGTTCAATTCTTGCACTGTTTTACAATAACAGCAAAACTCCCATGGACTTCTATGAGGCCAGGATTTCCTCTTTTGTCATTATAAATCTGAATGCATCTGTTAAGTGCATTAATTTAAAGCCCTTTGAAGTCAGTAAGAGTCCTTCCTTTGACTTTATCTGGCTTTGGATCATGTCCTTTAAGAACTACTGGATCCCTCTTAATATAGAAAATACTTCCAGGAAAGCCAAAGATATCACTGAAACAATAACTGATTTTTAGGGATCTCCAGAATCTTCTTATGAAAGAGGACTTGGTTGTCATTTTTATTAGGTGTGTATGAGTTAGTCCAAATCCAAGCAGGTGTTTTCATCAATGAGACTAAATAGGTGGAGAGGAAGCAGGCCAGTGAGAAATGTGGCTGCATAAAAACAACAGTTTTAAATACATTTTTATTAAAGAAAAAGGGTCAGCTAGTTTTAATGCCAAAACCCAAATGATCATGCCATATCCACCTCCCAAACTGGAGACAGGACACAGAGCCGTAGCACATGACTCTGTAGTTGTTATACTGGCTTATAGACTGGAACAGCAACCACACCCTCTTCATATCTCCATTTCCTTCCCAGGAATTCCTGTCAACTGGGTCCATGAAATAACTATAGTGCTTTCATTCAAAATTTGGAACCCTTTAACAGGAAACTACACCCTCCCCAAAAACAGAATGCCAAATGTTTTCCTTAAAAGAGCTGCCAACAAAAGGATGAAGAAGTTTTGAGGAGCATTTTGGAATATTTTAACGTTCTATCAGTATCTAAGAGACAATTTTTGCTTGGAGAACTACACCAGAACATTGTAATATTTCCATCTATGGAAATAGCTCAATTAGTATTGGATCCTTCATACTTTCAGTTTACCTTACTGGTCTCAAAATTTAAATTATTCTAGAAAATATATATAACAGAGCTGTTGACTCAAACATTGATTACGTGAGATTTTTATTCTTGTCAGTCTAACCTCTAAAGCTGGTCACTGTGTAGAACCGGGTAATAGTAGACTTTAATTTTCACAGTCTAACCAACGTCTTAGTTGACTGATTAATTCAAGTTGTGGTCAGATCCTTCTCCAACTCTATACAATGTCAGAGATCATCCACAACATTGCATGGGCCCAACAGAGAAAAAAAACTTGACTGGGGACAATAGTCTGTGAGCTATTATGACCATGTACCAGGCACAGACAAGTCCTCTCCACAATTGCACCCAATTCTCAGGTGGCTTGTGATAGATAAAGAGGATGAATGGGTGGAAACAAATATCAGTAGAAGAAGATGGCACACAAAAAGGCTAAATGTCTTCCTAAGCTTCAAAAAATCTCTCTTGCATGGAACAGACTTTGCCAACTAGCTACATAGTACAAATCTCCCTTCCCTCAGGAAGGTTGTTGAGAACTTAGCAAAGAGCTGCCGCTAAACTGATTCTGTCCCATGTAAACTTCAGGGCAAGTCTTAGAACAGAAATATCATTGGTTAGGTTTAAGAATAAGATCTTGCTCTCCCTGGATAAAGGATGGTCTCAGATTTCTCTGCACCCTGTCAGAATTCTTCTCTCCAACCTGAGAAAGATGGCAGCTGACTAGGGAACACTGCAAAATAGGCTGCACTCACACATTAGTGATGGGCAAATGCACCTCTGCTGTTAGATTCCTTCCTTTGTGGAGCATCTTTCTATTCTGTACCCTGCAGCTGTTAGGACAAATGGTAAGATTTACTGGACCAATATGTCAGTGTGTGGTGCTAAGCAGATATATTTCTATTACCATCTGGCACCATCACAACACAATTTATTAGGCATGAACCCATCAGCCAAGAAAAAGTGAAGAATGTATTGAGAACATATTTCCCCTGGATACTACATTTCCCTTCAGACATAAGGTCTTAGTCCTTATTTTAAAGGTTTTAAACAGTCTGGTCTAGATACCTAAAGGATCACTTTAGTAGCCTACTTTCCAACCACTGTCAACATATCTACTTCTCAAATTAAAACTCTTTAACTCAAAAGTGAAAGAGCTTTCTTTCAGATGGGCACACGCTCTGGAATTCACACATGCTGGAACTAAGAATGACAATAGATATCCCCACTTTCCATTACAAAGGCAAAACTCACTGTTTACTCTTGCTCTCTCGCAAAATTACGTGCAACTTGAAGAAGAATGCTTTACATTCAAAAGCTTAGCTAACTATCCCAACTATAGAGTTGGTCCAATAAAGGATGTCATCCCCCTCCCCCCCAAAAACCAAAAAAACCAAAACCAAAACCTAGACTCTCACATAATTCCTGAGCCATCATGGCTACAATGTCTACCATAAAATTACATGTCACATACACTATTTTTTATGGCAGGAATGACATAAAAATACATTCATGAAACTATTCCGTGGAAGATGGAAAGTAGAGGGACCTCAGACAACAGATATTCTTCAGTTATTCTTAGTGTTACAAGTGCTCAGTTACCTCAGTAAAGAGCATGGTTCAAACAGAATATAACTGTAAAGTAAAACATGGAAAGTGTTAATCTATAAAATACTACTTCAGCAGATAGAAATGTGTGACAGTAAGTGTTCAAAGTGGGGTAGTTCATATTTGCTCATGGAAATAAGCTCCAAGATACAGAAAGAATCACCATGGCACAACAGACATACTTAAAAACCCTGAATTGCCTAACAACTGACTACTGCTTATGGGTGTAGCTCTATGGATACCAAAGGAGTTACTCACACCTATATCAGCTGAGGATCTGGCCCCTACATTGCAATGTGATAGGTATCTAAGATAGACAAATTAGAGAGAAAGAGACAGAGTGAGACAAGTAAGGGCAGATGTAGCATTTGTTAATATTAAAATGTATTTTGAAAGCAAAACAAACAAAAAAAGAATGTGATAATTCTTTTCCAGTCATTGAGAAAATATTGTTTTTGCAGATAATTTGTATGGATAAAAAACACAGAATAAAATATTTTTATATCCCTCTTAGTAGCATTAAGCAGTTAATGCTAGATACAGTCCTCACCATTTATATCTATTAGAAAAAAGGAACCCACATCATTAACTGGTAAATGACACAAAATCTTATATTTTAATATGCTTTTAGGGTCTTTCAAGAATCTGGACACCCAACACATATCACAGCACAACAATTGCATTAATACATTGTACAAGCACTTTGTTAGTGGTTAGTAAATATACAGAGAGAGAAGACTGAAAAAAGATATGGAAACACCTTCAGATTTCATACCTATCAGACTATATTTGAAACCAGGGTCTTTGCAAAACCAAAAATATGAGGAGAGAAAAAAAAAAGCAGTAAAAATGTAGATGGGACCAAACACAAAATTAACAATATTGGAGCTGTGATACTGTTTCTCAATTAAACTATCTAACTTTGTCCATACATGTACAATAACCGTATGATATAACATTCTCCATTGATACATTTCCCTTATATAAAAAATAACTACATAAATACCTTATAGGTTCTCTGTAAGTCCTATTTTGATGAATTAATTATGTGTATAGGCACGTAATAGTCCTTGCACAGAGGTGAGCTGATTGAAATACACTACGTTTCCAGAGCTGTGATAAAAACAGGATACAACTTGGACAAAAAGTATTCATGAAAATTAGTAGTTGCTGAAATATCTGAATTTCAAAAGTTTCCAATCAGGTCTACAACTGTTTTCAAAAACAGGGGAGGAAAATGTTGACCCATTTTCATACTGTGTCAACTTTCCCATGATTGAAGTTGAGCATTCTTTCCAACTACTCTTCTGGCTATGGTACAAAACACAGTATAATAGATCATGTCCCACTCCATTGTTTTCCTCGGTATAGATACCTTTTCTGGTGAATTGTCTGCCTGTTTTTAATAGGGTTGGGTTATTAAAGTGGCACTTGAAGCTTTAGTTAACAGGAATGCTCATGTTTCTGCATGTTTCCATATTTTTTCCCATTATTGTACATTCACACTTACTTTGCTGTAATTGTACAGGCTATTGGGTTGAGGAGGAGGTTGTCCTCTGCTGATCCTTGTGCTTTTCTTTCCACTTCTATTGGATAGGCAGGGGGGCTGATTCATCATTTACGGGACGTATGGGGAAAACCAAATAATGCTTATATGATCATGAATGTTATGTACAAATGCCCTTTTCTTTATGATTACCATACACTATCACAGAAATGACAGTAAAAAATTTGGTGTAAGGATATAGAAAGTGACCTTACAATGACTCAAAGTAAAAAAAATAACATTTTTTGAAATGATTAGAAATGGCTCCTGTACCTGAAAACAAACCAACATATATATACTCTATGAACAGTTCTCCCAATGATTTCAATAGGTCAAACATGCTAGTCATTTCCATCAGGCTAATAAGTGAAAAAGAAAGGTTTTTGAAAGCCACTTACCATCCTCTATGGGAAAGGGATACCAAAATCAGTACTGGTCCCTCTCATTTGCCTGTTCTGACACAGAAATATCCACAGACTCCTTCCCAATGACACTCATGGTGGCACTTTTTCTGATGCAACTATTTTCCAGAAATGTGGTGGACTGATGTATTTGCACTTAGGAAGGCAGGGAATCACATTACTCACATGCCACTGGTGCATGACATATGGCTTGTACTGCGATATAGCTAAGTTGCTAAGTAACAGTAGTGGCTTCACCTTCTATTTCCTCCCATTCCTGGTGATCCTACCACCATACATTTACAAGGGGAACCCATCTGTTGCAGTATATCAATAGGAATCATCTTTCAAAAAGATGCAGGGGGAAATCTGTATACAGTTAAAGGCAAGAGGACTTTGAGCATTGACATCACTACAGCTAGGGTTTTACTTAAATAATAATGCCAAGATAATTTTTAACACCTATGCTATGTTGTATAGATTCTGGTTCATAAAACTTCTAAAATCATCGCACTGTGCCTGGGTTCTATTACTTCTAGGAATTGTAAAGCCAAAAGAGTGAAGGTTACATTCTACTCCCATTAAGCAGGGTTAATCTGGAGTAGTTCTCTTGACTTTGAGTTACTTTGGATTTAGATCAGCATCAATTAGAGTATAATTTGGGCGGGAGCACATAGTTATCGAAATAGCTATGAATTTGCTTATCAGTTATTTCATTGTTATGTTTAAAAGCAAATTACTTATTAATAAAAAGTAATCCAGTATTAAGTATACATTCAGGAATGCACTGAGCATGTAACGTAAATAGGAAAGATTCATGAACAGCTGATATCACAGTAACTGTAGACATTGTGCAGACTAACCGATCAGCTCTAGAACGTGTCCTGAGTGAGTCCCTGAGTATAACAAAGCTCATAGTAGCATTGTCTTACATTCATATACTTACATAGTATTCACAAGCATAAAAGATGCATTAAGCACAACCAGAAGATAAGCTGTAGGATCCAATATTCCCTTTCAAATACATTGGTCCCAATGCTTCTTTTAAATTAACACATTGAGTAACCTCTCAACTTCTCCTTGAGTTTGGCAGTTCAAATATAGAGGGAAGTGGGGGCACAATAGCTGAAAAGAGATATTCCTTGTTAAATACAATCAAACAAAGCTAAGAGATTGTATTAAACCTATTTCTAGAGATTTTTATTGTAGTATATTGCTGATCAACATATGAATAATAGTGCACTGGAAGTGTAAAAAGAGCATTTACTATCCTTGCCTTAATGTTTTCTCCCTTGGAGTCTCTGTTTCCTAGGGAGTATAAGACAATATTTTCTGGTTTTGTTTATACAACAGTATTTCCCATGTTGCTGACATGTATCTGATTTAAAAATTGACTAGTTAACCTTTGTGGCTTCTGCTGGGGAAAAGAAGTGTAAGTCATGCAGGTGCCAGAACAGTGACTATTTGTTTACTAAGAACCTGTATTTTAATTTACAGAGGAATTTTACAAGAAATTACACTTCATAGCTCATTTTGATCCTAACATGACTCCTGACACATATTGCCTTGCACAACTAGTTATACGTTCTGCTGTTCTAGGGTATTGTCGGGGACTGGGGTAATGCGGGCACTAGCACACTAAGCCCAGAGGTCACAAGTTTGAGGCCACAGCCGAAGAATTCATGGCATGGTCCTGTTGGATTCCAATGAATCTGTGAATTCTGCTAAATACCTTGTCACAACAAGGACAAGAGAAGGGAAAAGGAAAGGCCTGATCATACCATAGCAGGGCACTGGGATGTGCCTGCTCCTTTATGGGAGCAAGCAGCCTGAGAGACTGCTTGCAGGTGGCAGAGGAGAGCTAATAGGAGCCTCACCTGAACAGAAGAAGGCTCAGGCTGGAGTTAAATAAGCCCAGAGCCTGCAGTGGTTAGATAATCTCTCCCCAGCCACCACGCAGGCAAGAACTCTTGGTTGTAAGGCAGTCATGCTCCTGCAGGAACCTGGTTTATATTGAATGACTCTGCAGACCAGTGGTTTGGGCTGGGACTGTAAGGGGTGGGTTTCAAGGTCTCATGAGTGCCTGTGAGGCATGTGATTGCATTGAGCCCCATGAGGGGCAGGCTCAAGGCCTGAGCTACTGGCAAGCCTAGTGAGCAGGCAGTGCAAGGCTGCAAAGCAGATGGGGGACAGGGGTCTGCTGCCTGGGAGGGGCACGGTGAGTCAAGGGCCAGAGGCCCAGTGCCTGGGAGGGGCACAGTGAGATAGGGGTCATGGTCCTGGCACCAGAGGAGCACAACCATAGTGGGTTAAGGGCTTGACAAACAGAGGCCAGTGACCTGGAGACTGAAAGAAGATAGGAGCCACGGGCCTGGCACCAGAGGAGCACAGCCATAGTGGGTCAGGAGCCTGGCAGACAGAGGCTAGGGGCCTGGAGACTGAACGTGGTAGACGGAAGCTAGTGCCTCAAAGCCAAGTCTGGTGCCATGGGTCTAGGCTAAAAAAGGTCTAGCAAGAGTAAAGGGGCAGAGGCCAAGGAGGCTGAAGCCCCAACAGGAGAAAACTACATTATGATAACATCGGTGAGGCTTGGGGCATGTTGTAGGGGAGGAAAAGGAGCCACACAATGTGCCCTAAGGCTACAGATGTCTTACAGAGGCCTAGTCAAGTCGAGAAGTAACTATCTGCATTGAAGCGCACTCTGAGGCCTGTTGGTAGCCTCCCTTAATCACTCTTGAATAGTAAGATCAAATCATTGGAACGTAGTGACCTATTAAAGTTAGTACATGTTAGGAGGTAGCCCTCGACTGAAACAAAACAAATTTGCAACATACGCACTTACAAAGTGCTAAACTTCTTGAGCATTCATCTACTTGCATTTTCATAGCAAGCTGAACACATGACACCACCCTTACTTGTCTTCCTCTGAAGTATAAGGTTCTGGTCACTGCTAGAAGCAAGAACTAGATGGACCTGTTCTGGTCTGTTATAGTAAATCATATGTTCCTAAACTTCTAAAGATGGGCTTTTAATGTAAAACACACTACTACCATAAAAAGCAAACAAAATCCCTGTAACAAGTGCTGGCACATTTGATGTAAATCCGGTGTTGTTTTTGGATGAACATGCTTTTTGTAATACAAGAAGGAACCTCTTTATGAATTATATCAACATACATGACAGGTCTTACCAAATATAGAAAGCCTTATGTCTTACGTACTCAGCATTTAAGAACAAGAGGAGACAAGAAATCCTTGGAACTCCAGGAATTCCTGCAGATTAATTGCCATATTCAATTATTCCTTACCCCTAAATTAAATTAATAAATGATTAGTAAACCATTTAGTATAGTTGATTCCAGTCTTCCATTTCCGTAATTCATTGTTGCGAATTACCAAATGTCACAAATACTACACACTGAACTGATGTGGCCCATATAGCAGTACTTCCCTAGTCTCTGGAGTCAGTCTAACTAGTTCCCCTAAGACCATTTCAAAAGCCCTCAATAAAAAAGGAACGATAAATTAACATTTCTGCATTTCATTTTATATTAACAGTTAGACCAATCTTCTTGACCTGGTCTCATTAACATATTTATAAGCATGCATTTTCCTTATCAAAGCTAAGTTTTCATATCAATAATTGGCTTGAAAATTTCTACTTGACCCACCAACATAGTCTGTATAAATGGCATATTTGTAAGACTCAGTAGAGTAGCAACTATTAAGGTAATTGTGTAACATTATCTCAAATCCATCTCATTCATGTGGCAGAGAAACACTGAGGGCATTCATGAAAATGAAAGCTTAAATTAGGCCTTTTCTATAGAATCAAGAAACAAGCATGTAACTCAACCCACGTACCCTGATACATCTTCATGGTCACTGTAAAGGCAAAGGAAATTAAATACTGTGTTAGGATAACCACAGGCAGTGGATGAGGGCAACCTAGTCTGACTATGTTAAATTTAAATGATATGGACAGTCTCTGCCAAAGCTAAAAAGCTTTTCATGACCATGAAGCACTTAGAAGCAAAACCACCACAAATTTTCAGCTGCTAGCAGAACAGAAGCACAGTATAAAGCAGGCACACATTTTTTTTTTTCCAAATTTGATTAATCTGTTCCATAGTAGTGAAGGAAAGCAAGCACCTGATCCTTCAGTCTTTGCTTATATGAGCAAGCCTCACCCATGCGCATTTTCTGTTTCAAATTAATAGATTGAATGTATCAGTAAGAATTACTGAAAGCAGATTCCTTACCTTCTAAGGATTCACTCTCTCTGTATTTAGAGAAGGGTCTAACATAGCAATGAATCATTACGCAAGAAGGCAACATGACACGTATTCTAGCTGATTGCTGCCAGTCACACAGAGGCAGTCAATGTGGGGCACAAATCCAATTCTGCTGCATTGAAGTTAGCCAGTGGAAACTGTGGCATTGCTTCCAATTGGGAAAAGATCAAACCAGTGGCAGAAGTACTAAGGGTATGGTATTTCAATCTTTCAGGTCATACTACTATGTGAATGAAGAAAAGGGGCAAATCTGGTAGCACGTGAAAGTTACAGAACTCTGACACAGAGGGAACAGTTTTTTCCAGAAAAGCTCCCAATGTTTTAAATGTGGTGGTAGTGGGGGTGCAGGGTTACATTTTGGTAGA